TAAAATTTTTAAAAAAAAAACGTACCTGTAGATTCCTAGTACTCTTGCCGTCTCTTGGTTGTCGTCCGGCCATTTTTTCGATTTTTTTGGGATTTTTTCGAATGATTTTTGAAAAAAAAAATTCTTTCAATTTTTTTGATTTTGTGCGGTTTGTTTTGGGAAGGAGGACGAAATTTTTTTTTTTGATATGGTGGGTGGTGGGCCGACGGGTTTGGAGCTTAATTTCCAATTTTGATATTTTTTTTTTTTTAAAATAAGGGTAATTTAGTATTTTAGGGGTGCGGTACGTAGTAAAATGAGCGCGGTATTTAGCAATTCAGTTCTGCATTTATATAGAGATGATTCAAAATCTACTAGTACAGAGCCAGTGCGATACACGGGGTGCACAATTTTAAAGCTATTTATCCAGGCTTATAATTATATACATGAATAAATAAAAATGTACGGGATATATATAGTACGTGACCCGTGCGAAGCACGAGATATATTTATTTGGAGAATATTATATTATAAGATGCAATATTCAATAAAAGTTTATAATACGCAAGAAAATTGTACAATGTTCAATAAAAGTTTTATAATATTCAAGTGGAGTCTTAAAGTCTCTTGTACATTAAGACTACTGACAAAATAATATTTAATCAATGAGTTTCCTTTCCTTATAGCCAAATTTGTAAATGTGATTTGAAGAGTACAACAAATCGATATATAGCTTACTTGCTTTTTTCATTGTAGTTTTTTTTCTTTTTTCTTTTTATAATGAATTTAAGGATATTCTAAATTATAGCAAAAATTAATTTTTTTTATTACAATTAGGAATTTTACTAAATATAAACTCTCAATCTATGGTGTTAATCAACGTTTGAGTCTAAAAAATTAAAAAATTTTACCTCTTTTAATCAACGTTTAAGTCTAAAAAACAATAGAGTTATTATAAGTTTTTTTCTACATCTTTTAAAACATTAAATATGAGCATGTTAGGGCTAGCTTGTAAAATAATTAATATATTATCTCATTAAAACATTTATACTGATAAAAATTTAATTTTAGCATATAAATTTATCCCTTGATAGAAAAGAAAGTAACAGTTTTACTTATTGTTGTTCACCATATAATATTTAATTATTATTTTATTTTATAATAAAAAAGAAATATTGTTAAATAGTGTAGTAGAATTGTTATAAAATTATATGATTTTTTTTTACAATATGGATTTAATATTTTTTTATGATTTGATAATATAAACAAATCTATACTTAACTTTGACAAATAAAACAAATAAATACTTTAGTAAGTATTTAATGTATATACTAAATAGGAATATATTTGGTATAATCAAATACCAAATATAATCAAATAAGTCAAAGTGTATATTTTTATTTGGCATTTGATTTTTTTATTATTAAAATCTTTGTATTATACTTACCTTTTTAAAATAAAACAAATAAATAAATTAATTAAATAAATAAAATATTATAATACGAAAATAGTAATGACATTTAATGCAGTTGACTTTTCTATATAGTAAATATAACAAATAAAATCTCCTTTTATATAAGTACAGATTGTATAATACGGAAATAGTAATGCAATCAATGTTGTTCACTTTTCTTTATATTAAATCTAGTAAATGATATACCTTTTAATATAAGTATAGATTTAATTAATTTATATTTGGTACAATTTATTAATTATACTTTTTTTTTATTTTGTTTTGCGGTTATTAATTTCAATATTTTATCGCATAAAGTACGTATTGTTTNAAAAACAAATTAAAAACCAAACTAAATACTATATTTGCTGACCGCCCAACTACCCACCTATATATGAATCAATTAAGCAATCACACTTTCACATTCTCCATCAAAATCCCCTATCAAGTCTCAACCCATCCCAAAAACAAAATCCCAATTCAATAAATCAGACATAAACCGATTTAAAAAAAAAAAAAGAAAAATTAGAAACATTCAGAAATGCAGACCAGTAATGAAGAAAATCTCAACCCAGATTATATTCTACGGTCAGAAGCGAAGATAAGCAAGGAATTTTACTCGGATCATGAAGCAGCTGTGGATAATCATGTCGGTGGTGAAGATATAGAGGAGGAGGAGGAGGAAGAGGAATTCTCTTTTGTGTGCGGAGCAACCACTTCGCCCATAGCGGCGGAGGACATATTTATTAACGGCCAGATCCGGCCGGTTTATCCACTTTTCAACCGGGACTTATTGTTCTCCGGCGAAGATTTGGTCGACACCTTGCCGTCGAGGCCGCCGGTTAAAAAGGTGCTCGTCGAAACGATTGACGGGCCGTCCTCGCCGGATCGGCAGGCGGTGGAGGTGTCGGCGTCGCCGCAGGTCTGCAGGAAGAGCAACTCGACCGGATTTTCGAAGATCTGGCGGTTCAAGGATTTTCTGGGGAGGAGCAACAGCGACGGGAGGGACGCCTTTGTCTTCCTCAACAGCGGCCACTCGTCGGCGGCGCCGTCCGCGGCAGATCAGATGGCCAAGGGAGAGGAGAAGAAGGGTAAGGTGAAGGGGAAAGTGAAGAAGGAGAAAAGGGAGTCGTTGTCGGCGCACGAGGTGTACCTGAGGAGCAAGTCCAAGGAGGAGGAGCGGCGCCGGTCGTATTTGCCCTACCACCCGGAGTTAATGGGGTTTTTCACCAATGTTAATGGCGGCTTGAGTAAAAATGTACATCCCTTCTGAAGGGATTTCTGCTAGTGTGTGTACATCTTTTTTTTTTATTATTATTATTTTATTATCATCATCATTAAGATAGAATTTATTTGTCCCTTTTTATCGTTTTCTGATAAAAAATTGGATTTAATAGCAAGTGACTCAAAAATGAATTGAGTTGCTAACTAAAAGTTCGTTTTTCCTTCTATTAGTTCATATATGAACCAGCTATGAACTCTATATCGGCATTCTTTTATGTTTGATCACATTGTTCTTGTTCTAACTACAATCTATCATTATATAAAAAGAATAACTTTTTTATAAATTTAGAAAGTTTTTTTCGCCATAATCATTAAATATATCCTAATTATAGTAATAGTTGGACAATTGTGAATAACCACAAAAAAACGGTTCTTTAATTGCAGTGTTTTCTTAATTCTAGCTTGCACAATTAAATCAGCGTGCAACAACAAATCCGATTAGCTTCTTTTTAACTTTCCCACAAAAATATCGGAAGTTTTGTTTTATATCTAAATCTAATTTTTTTTTTCAACACAAAATCCGCTAAAAGTTTAGATATTCACGTGTACATATTAGTTACATATTGGATTCTTATTAGGAATGAATTATGAAATTAAATAAAATTGTTATTAAATAAAACCTTTTTTAGATGGCATCGATTTATATAAATTTATATAGATATTCAAAAAAAAAAAAATACGACATTAATTAAAAAACATTGTTTTTAAAATTGATTCACAATATTCATCGAAAAAAAACTGTACAATATTTTCTTGGTGTGTACAAATTAAGTTGCTAAATAATCGGAAAAAATCCCACCTTGCTATTCGAATATCATGCAACTCTTCACAATATTTAGTCCGCATTTATCCGATGTAATACATCAATTAATTGGACAATCTTTATCGTACGTTCGTCTATTCCTGAAGAAACCTGTTTTTAGTCATGACCAATTATATGTTGTTGTTTCACGTGTAACTAATAGAAGAGAGTTGAAGATATTAGTTTGTGATAAAGAGGAGTTACCAATAACCAAACTCATAATGTTGTGCACATGGAGGTTTTTAATAATATATGATTGTTTCGTGACGAAACAATCTTTTTTTTAAATGTTCATACGTATTATATTCTTTCGATCCTAATGATTACGAAATATTATATTATATTATTCTCCTGAATTCTCCAAAATTATAGAGCCTCGTGCATCGCACGGGTACTGTACTAGTTAAGGATATAAGGGGATGCTTATATATATATATATATATTTTTTTGGATTTTTTAGTTTGTTTGGTTAATTTTGAAAAATGTGTTATGGTTATATGTTAGTGGTTATGTTAAAATAATATTTAAAATAAAATAATTAAAGTTGATTTGATGTAATAACATGAGAGAGATGATTTGAAGTACTAATAATTAGTTAAAATTTTATGGGTGAATGAATAGTGAAGTAAAGTGGATGTGATGTATAATGATGATGGGTTTATATTATATTGATAATATTGATGACAGTGGGATTAAGTTAAAGCTGAGTTAAAAAAGTGATTGAGTTAAAAATGTTTTGATTTGAATGAGAAGATTTGTAAGCATCCTCTAAATGAGTTAGAGTTGAGTTTGAGCTCTTGTTAGTTGCGGTCACCTTGAATTGGATTGGGTTTAATTTGTTAAAGTCAAACTCACGAACGATGGATTTCGCCTAGGCTAGCGGTATTTAAGCGCCACGATATTTGGCTAAGCAGTCATTCTAGTCGCTCGGACGACTAGATGACATTTGAGAAGACTAGGCAATGCTAGATGGGTTAAACGGTTGCTAACCCACATCTAGGCGTCTGCAATATATTTTTTTAATTATATTGTTTAAAAAAACTAACAAAATGATTTTAATTTGTATGCATGAAATTTAAATTAGTCATATCATATAAAATTAATACTCTAATTAATACAACAATTATAAACGAATTAGATTTTGTATAATCATTGTATTTGATCATATCAATTAATATATTTCATATCATATATCTTATAATTTTTTTAAATGATAAACATAAATAAATTTATTACTAATTTTACGAACTAGTTTAGACGTCTTCTAGTCCTCAGTCCTCACTTAGACATCAGACATGCCCCTCGTAACCAACGTCTAACGAATTTTAAAACATTGCTTTATACTGTATGTGAGAAGTGCATATTAATATTTAGATTTTTTAAACACTTTCTTTCCCGGGAACCATGGTATGGACCCGTATAGTATAGAAATGAGGGACATTTTTAGTTTTATTTTTATTTTTAATTTAGTTGCATACTTATCATTTTAAATAGATTATGGTGGAATAATTTTCTCTCTCTCGCGATTTCCCTCTTTTGCACAGTAAAAACATAGATAGAAAAATTGTATGTCGCCGGCCTCCACCCAGCGGAGCGATCCGCCCCACCGTGGTGATGGCCGCTACCAGATTGTGCTCCAGGTCCCTCGCCGCGTCGTGGCCCTCTCGACCAGGTAGTATCTCCGGGTTTGGCTCTGGTGGCTCTTCGGTCTTTGGTTGTCAGCAGATGTGGAGGTGGGTGTTCGGGGCTTGTCTCCAATTCTGGTCTGAGTGTCGTCTACTTTGGAGAGGACTTGGGTCTAGGGGTCCAGATCTAGTTAGGCGTAGCAATACTGCAATTTCTAGTTCAGAGCCTTGGGCTGAGTTTCTTCCCTTTTGGGTGGTTGTATTCGGGGGTCAGTGTTGTGGTTCTACAGTCTACAAGTTTACTTGTCGACTGTCGAGGAGGGCTTTACGGATATTTTAGTAGTTAGTTAGTGTGTGTGTTTTGTGTTGTGGTTTTATTCTCTCTTTTAGGAGCATATATTCTTCCATATTGGAGCATACATTCTCCACTTGTGAGAAGTTTTTAGTTTCTTGTGTGTTAGTGTTGTAGTATTTAGGCTACCTTTGGGTAGATCTCTTGATTGGATCTTTATTAATGAATTCCTATCGTTTCAACAAAAAAATGATAAATTAGTGTGAAAGTAGGAATATGTTATATATAGAATTCGAGTTACTAAATGACAGAGACCATTTTAATGTAGAAATGAATGACATTAGAAAATAGAAAATGCAATTTTGGCATTGGAGTGAATTACTATTAGAGAATAATTTTTCTTTAAATAGTTTCGATCGGATACTAAATATTAATAATAATATATAAAATATCATGCTTTAATTTCAAACTACGTTTCGCATGATTTAAGTTTAATCAACTCTAGACCTGCCAAGGTTAAGTCCCACTTCTTTGAAATGTAGAACCACAATTTGACCTTAAGTTATATACACTGCATTCTTCGTTTGAATTCTTCCAAAATATGGTCTCCATCTCCAACTCTACCCCAGAGGTTATTTCTATATTATAAAGTAATTTACAGCAATTTGCTACATTGACCGCAGACTTAATTATTGTTTTATTATAAATTTTATTATCATATAATATCATTATTATTTATAAAAATTATATAAGTTGTACGTCTTCTTTTCTTTTTGTTTCATGTAATGAAAAATATTTAATGCACGTTAATATTGTTTATTTATGTAATCAATTTAAAATATGTAAATAAATTTAAAATAAAATAGTGTATATATATTTTACAAAATATACACACTTGTTTTTTTAGAATTTAATTTTATATACTAATTAAAAAATATTGATTTAGCAAATGCCAAAAACTCAATCTCTTCTATAATCAAAATTTTTCTAATTTACATTATAAGAATTTATAGTTTATTTAGCATACTCTCCAATGAACATATATTTTACAAGAATTTCATTATAAAAAGAAATCAAAATAAATAAAAAATAATAAAAAATAATCATGGCTGCCAATAATATACAAATAAATTCTAAAGAACAATTAATATATTTCAATTTTAATTTTGACCATTAGTAAAACTATTTAATTTATATGGTCAGTATCTTTTAAAGGGTAAATTATATTAATTTGAAGAATAATTTATTTTTTATATATAACAAAATAAAGCTTAAGAAAAAATTATATTGGCAAAGATTAATTCGCCAACATGATTTCCACTGATCAATTACAAGAAAAAATTCTACTTAACCTGTTACGATTTTATATAAATATTTTTTGATAAAGAGTGAATATTTGTAAAAAAAATATGGTTAGAACATAAAATATGTTGTAATATTTGTCTTGACCAAAATATTATCAATAGGAATCACGAAAAATTAATTTTGTAATTTATTATAATGGATATCAATGAAATTATTGCAAATATTAATAAAATTATTTAAGGAAACAATATTTTGATCATATCTGATTTGATCTTATTTGAAAATGTATATATGGAAGCAATTGATGCATATATTTAAAAAGTTTCCGAAAAAAGTATGCATTAAATACTTCCAAAAATTTTGAGTATTATTTTTAGTAAATGATTATTCTTATTATATATAATGGATGTGTGAATGGATGTGTGAATGGTAAATTTGATAGAAAAAAGATACGAGAATGAAAAATCTATATATATAGATTTTTCATTCTCGTATCTTTTTTCTATCAAATTTACCATTCACACATCCATATATATATATAGATTTTTCATTCTCGTATCTTTTTTCTATCAAATTTACCATTCACACATCCATATAACATAAGTATACATATTTTACATTAATCCATTTAAACAAGTACATTTTTAGTTTACATTCACGCATAAACAAAAAGTTAATTATTTTTGTGAAAAACATTTATTATTAATCTCTTGTTAAAAAAAATATGGAATGCAAGTACATGGAATAGCTCAATTTTAACATAGAGAGTTCCGTCTTAAACTGGGGCTCTCAATTTTAACAAGATGATGTAGGCGGAAGCGTACAAAGGACTCGAGAGTATAAACTCATGATAAAATTTATTTTTATTTTCAATTTTCACCGCTCATCATAAGAACTTACAACCATATATATATAATAATAATTCTAGTCTTCTTGTGACTCTTAGTAATCACCCACAAGACTAGACTTTTAGTCTTTCTAAAATAACAATTTTAAATGCCTTTTGATTTCTTCATAAGCTAGTCAAAAATAATAATACTACTAATAAATGTCATGCACAAGGCCCATGCATAGATCATGCACGATTGCCCCTTCGCTCGTATTTGTCCATGAATGTCAAGGCGATCTCGTCTCTATCATTCTATCCCCGTTGAGGAGAATTCACCCTCGAATCTGCATGGATCTCGTCTCCAACCGAGTTCTCGCCCAAACATGGCACCAAATGTTTGATGCTGAACACGTCAAAAGTTTGGATATGCGACGGTAGACGTAGACGGTAAGCATTTGGATTAATCTTGTCAACGATCTCAACCGGACCGATCTTGCAGGCAGACAACTTGTTGTACTCGTGGGCAGAGAAACGGTCCTTAGTCAGCACACTTTTAAAGACTCGAACATGTTGAGGATTTTATGGGTTAGAGACTGCTTGTAATAGTTTATTCCTACGATGGGATACCGTATAGACTTATTGTTTTTCAAATGAGCATGTAAGCCCATTCGTGGGTCTAGGATCATCGTGTAATTTATTTTGTAAATTATAATCTTGTTGTTTGCAGACGAGGTCAAACTACCCCTACGACCGGCGGACCTCGACGATTTGAGACCCATGACCCCACTGAAAGTAGTCGCACATGGCCGTGGATAGGCCGCGAAAAACGTGCTATTGTGGTAGCTCAATTGCAAGGGTCGTGCACAGGAAACATCTAGCTTGGGTTGACGTTGGGGCGACGATGGCCGAAGGCCCTCGGTAGTAGGCCGCGAGCACCGCGTACGGATGTTGCGGGCAACGCTCGACTTTGTCGCACGGCAGTCCCGAGAGACGCAGGCACGTGTGCCCTTTCATAGCCAAGAGCGCTCACAGCCTGGAACATATTGCACGAGAATGTCGCGAGACACTGATGACGTACAAATTTCTGCTGCGCAAATTTTGCATGAGCGCGGGCATCACGCGCGACCGCTTGATTTTTAGGCGTGATCATGCCGCGAGCGTGGGCGAGATGACCCAACAACGCCAGACGGCTCACACGATATCTACTAGACCCTGGCGATGTAACAGCGGTAGCCATTAGCCAATAGATGTGAAGCACCCTGACGATGGCGGAACCCTAGGCAGTGAACTTCGGAGACGATGACGGTGGGCGATACGATGATGACGTACAGTAGAAGGGAGCGGCCGGCGGTATCCCTGAAATTGGCTTGCTTGAGCAAGAAGTTTGATGCATTTTGAGTTTTTGGCTGATAAAGAATAGCAATTTCAATAGGACATAGACTGATTATTTTCTAGTTGCCTAAGAATTTTAATTACTGGCCATAATAGTGGATATTTTATTTTTCTTTATTATAGCTATTAATTGTTAAATATGCAAGTTTAATTAATTGTATGCTATTTTTTTAAAATGTGAACTAATTAAGGGATTGTATGTTTAATTTAAAAATTCTCACTTCAAAATACTAAGTGGAAAAGGAAATTTTAAAATTAAGCTAATTTTAAAAATCGGGTTTAATGCACCAAATCCCCCTGTATTATACTAAATCTGCGCGTTTTCCCCCTGTATTTTAAAAATTGCGTCAGACCTCCTTCTATTAAAGTTTTGCATGCGCGAAACACCCTAAACCGTCTAAGATGACGGAAGTGGCGTGCACGCGCGTGTTGTGCGGCTTTTTCTTCATTTTTTCACCTCAAAGTGATGGAAATTACTGTTTTGCCCTTGAATTATGTGCAAAACCTAAATGTTATGAAATGTAGGCAACAAGATTCGAACCTAGGTTGGAAAGGAAGGAAATGGCCGCTCAACCACTAAGCCATATGGATGCATGTGTACTCTATTGAACATAAATATATCTATACATCATACTGAAATATATTAAATAGTTTAAAAATAGAGACAAGGGAGCGTGTGCACCTGAAACCTTAATAGAAGGGGGTCAGACGCAATTTTTAAAATACATGGGGGAAACACGCAGATTTAGTATAATACAGGGAAGTTTGGTATATTAAACCCTTTAAAAATCCTACGACCTCTATTACTTATTACTTGGTGATGCAATTTATTTGAAGTTTGAGTTCTGTCTAATCGGTGACACTACTAAAAAATTAATTGTGGGATCACCAGGACAAACCTATTCGGAGAATTGTAGGAAATCGTGCTTAGAGTGTGTGGGTCCCGCCTAACGGGGACATACAATCATGGCATGGGAACCTTAGGATCACATGATGGGTTATATAAATTTTACTATTTATAAGTTTATAAAATGTTATAGATATCTAAGATTTTAAATATGATGTTTGTATGCAAATTACTTATATGTACATATAAAATTACCGATTATCTTATTTTGTAACTTTTTTTAATATTTCATATTTTGCATATTTCTCGATAATTAACGTTTAACCCACAAATTATAAAATTTATCTTCTTTATTATAATTTTAGATGCATGAAATATTAATTGTTTGATAATTATATTTAAATTACAGGCAACTTTAATCACTTATGCAACGAAATTTCTTTAGAGTAAACTATTTTTTTTATTTTTAAATTGTTGGTCTATGTTTATTTCTTTAATTCATTTTCTCAACATATATCGAATTAAATATTTAGATAAATTATATATTTCAGGCATTACCAAATGCTATAATTTTAATTATGATATTTGACTATATTATCTTATTTACTCCATTTTCTTTGTTACTTAGTATATAATAAAAAGTATATAGATATATCTAATGTAAAACTTATAATTCTAATTTTCACCTGACCACCAAATAATAATTTTATTAATATCAAATATAATTTTTCAGTAGTAGTCCCAATACAAATGATATATTCAATAGAGTTAAGTTGACTACATTTTAGAAAATTTTATTTTAGAAAAATTTATTAATAATGTAAATTATCATTAAGTTAATATGATTCAAACACAAATATTCTGGTTATTTGTTATATATTTTAAGCACTTATGAGGTGAACACAATTAATAAAATTAAATTCTAAAATGATGAGATGATAATATAATTAATTAAATTAATTTCATAGGTATAATGATAATTTTTTTAATTATATCAACAAATTACTACGAAATTCATATTATGATCTTATTAAAAATATATATAATCAATAAATATTTTACTTAACTCAATTTATAACTAATTAATATTAGTCATTGAGTAAAAAAAAGATAATTAATGTTCGTATATAAATTTTGTTAATATATAAAAGTTAATTATATGCTAATTATATAGATGAAAATAACTTCTCGCCCAAAAACATGTCAATTATAGTAACAAAGTTTGGTTCTAGATATAGATTTTTTTACTGTACTTGCTAGCTTTTTTCCAACACAAATTTTAAATTACAAGTCAATCACGACTACACGTTTCTCTATAAAATATATTATTCATATATATTCATTCATTTATATATTTTTATTATTAATCATATTTTACTGTTTCTCTATTATATTGTAAATAACTATTATATTTTTATATCACTATCACTTTTTAAAGAAATTATTAACTAAATACATTAACTATTTTTATTCGAAGCTGGGTATAAGGTTATTGGAAAGCCCTTTTGATTGTTTGAGAAATTAATGTGCACACATAAATTATAATATCTTAGCATTTTTTTTTTCCTTAAAAATTAATATTGATATTTTTACTATTATGGCTCGAGTAGTTGGGCAACAAAGTACTGCCTCGCACGTTAGGTGTTGTATTCCTGACTTTTGTGTTCTTTATTTTTTTGGGCAGTAACAAATTTGGGCCNCTGTTAAGTGGATGATTGGATACAAGTTTATTATTATTATTATTATTATTATTATTATTATTATTATTAAAATTCAATCTCAAGTCAGATCTAACTAAAGTGTAACTCAATATCACCATTTCAATTGTAAGAAAAACGGGGTAAAATAGGCAGTTCCACGCAGATGAAGCGCACAAACAGGAAAAACCCAGATGAAGCTTAAGTGGGGTTCCATCCAAAAACCAATTGGTGGAGGAGGAGTAACCCTTAATGACTTATAAATTAGGCCTAGTTTTCTTTAGGTCTACTTTCTCTATATAAACGATGTGGGACAACTTAGAAGTGAATATTCTAATACGCCCCTCACTTGTGAGGCCTTCATAAGAAGGACAAGCCCATATATGGAGCCGGGTGCCCAAGCCCTACTAAGCCCTACTAGAAACAGGCTGGGAAACGGGTACGTCATTGCACGTGCGACACACGCGGAGGGAAGCCGCATCTGCACACGAAAGGGAGATATTTTATTCTCTCTTTTATCTATCTTTTATTTTTATTAATATGTTAGGCTAGTATTTTTATCCAGTTTGAGGGGATGTTTGAACCCTAATTTCAATTTGTCTATGAATTGAATGATTTATATTTATCGTTGATTAATCGAGACGCCGTATTTATTTTTGTTGATGAGTTGATTCATGCTATCTGTGTTTAATGTTTATGAATTATGTGTATTTGATTTAGTTTGGCCAGCTACGTTGAATGTTCATAGTTTAATTGCTAGATTCGGGACTTTAATCCGTAATTGTTATTGTCTCGTTTCGTTAGTAGTAAATTAGGGGTCGTGCATCTCTAGGATAGCGTGAACATAAGTTAAATGGTCCGATCTTGTGCGTCCATTGCTTAGACTGATCTATTTTCCTAGGAATTAATGTTGCTAGTGTATTAAATCTAGAGAGCTTATTCTAGGTTGTCCGCTAGTTAGGTTTAGTCGAAGAGCTTATTTCGATTAAATATTCGGTAAGGGAAAATTCGGTTAACAGAGCTTGTTGTTAGCTAGGGTCGGTAATTCATTAGCAATTTAAAGAAAGCGTCGAAATTAATTAACGGTAGATTGAGATTGGGTGATAACTGAACCGAAAGCTGGACTTCTCTTATTTTATTTGATTTTTATTATTTTATTTTTTGTTATATTTTTATTAAATCTATCCCCCCATATTTATTTGCTTTCTTAGTTCAATTAATACGAAATTGTCACAATTTAATTCCTACTCCTCGTGGGATCGACCCTTACTCGCCACTACTACGACAAGCAACGTCCGAGCACCTACAGTAAATTTGACCGCGCGTCGTTACACGGCAAATTTATATTTATAAAATTTTCCTAACTTACCCCTACTAACTAGTAGTAGTGGCGAGCAAGGGTCGATCCCACAGGGAGTGTGGTATAAACCGTGATTTTATTATATTAATTAGATTAAAATAAAAATGGGGGGATTTGATTTATTACGAAACTACTAGCAAAACAAGAAATAAACTAAAAATGAAAATAAATGAATTATATGCCAAAGATGATGAAATGAAAAATAAATAAAAATAATCTAGCAAAGATGAGAATGGAATCGGTTCCAGGTCGGTCTACACCCTCGAATAACTAGCCCAATTAATGCTTTTATCAAATTTCACCCGTCTTCTAAAACTACCGGTCCTAGATAGCAATAAGCTCTGCTACCCGAATTTTCCCTTAATTTATACTTAATCGAAATAGGCTCTTCAATTAATTCTAACTAGCAAATAACTCGGAATAAGCTCTCCTAATTTAACCCACTAGTCGCATTAAAGTCTAGGAAAATAGACCGATCTAAGCCACAAACACATAAGCTCGGTTCATGTAACTTATGTTGTGCTATCCCTAACAATGCACGACTGTTAGTTGCTACAAACGAAATAAGAGCGACGACAATTACGGATCGAAGCCTCAAATCTAGCAATTAACATGCAATTCCTAACTTAGGTGATCAAGCTAAATTAAAAATCACACATTATGACATGAAAATAGAATAACACAATCAACTTTATACGACGAGTAAAACAAAATAAATAGCATTAATCAAACATAGTCATCGAGGGTTCAACGTCCCTAGAACCGAAATAGTGTTTAGCTACACATAGCTAAATAATACAAGCAAAAATAATAATAATGCATGATCGCAAATCGAAACAAAGCAAAACAAATAAATAAGAACAAACTCCTTGATCACAAATTCACGGCTAAGTTATTTTCTAGCAGCAGCAAATAAATCTTCCAACTCCTTGATGGTCACCCTAAGCTCTCACGTCCCGTATGAAAAGTCCCAGCCAGTAAAAGAATGAAAATAATGTTTTTTTTCTTGATTTCTATCTCCCGCAGCCAAAATAATGGTAAGAGTCCCATTTTGTTTCCAATTCCTTCAATTCCAACAAACTTTAAGAGTCCAATTTCTAACAAATTCTCTCCAACCGCCACCACTTCAGCATGTTGTTGAATTATTTCCTTGGCCATGCAAAATTAATTCGCCACCTCACCAATGCCATGTCATCATTGTGCATAATAACCAAAAAGGCTTAACCTGCAAAATAAACACAAATTTCGACTATTGGTGTATGTCCGTTCACAAAATAAAATACGTGAGAAAACTTATATAATACACTAAAATCAAATACTCCAATATATAAATTAAACCCCAAAATAATACAAGATTTCTCACGTATCAAATCTCCCCAAACTAAAACGTTGCTTGTCCCCAAGCAACATAGAACTAGAACACAAAGAACGGACAAAACAAACAAAACAAGTACGTGGAATTTTCGCTCAGGTCCTCACACATCTCACATAATGCATAGCTACAACTGTTCAAATTAATAACCCCGGACTCGAAATGAAATCACCTTTAGGACGCCAACAATCAAATATCAATTCAGTGAATTACCGCAACTCATCAATCTCTTCACCGAGTATACCAATCATGCAACTAACGACATCCTTTTCTTTGCCAACCGGTTTAGTTCCCCTTCGCTTCTAGCCAGAAATCAAACGTCTCGAATTTTTTTTTTTTCTTTTTTCTTTCTTTTCTTTTTTGCTAGAGTGTTGCACTAAAGCTTCACAGACTGGCAGCTGTTGCAGCCCACGATTTTTTTTTTTTTTTTCAACACCTATTATTTTCTCCTCCACATTCATTATTCACACCCCCTTTTCTTTTTGTCTTTTTTTTTTCTTTTTTTTTTTCGAGACATTCAAATCCCAACTTTCCACGTCAAGTTACCTCACACAATCGACATCAAGCAGAATAGCCACCAGCATATTTCAAGAATATATAAACAGTTCAAGACCAACTTGCTACAAATAAAACACATAAATGTCAACCGTCATGTCTTTGTCCCTCGAATGAAAACACCTCAAGAATTTAACCAGAAATAATTAATCCAAGTCATCATAACTAGCACGTTAATATCAATAGACACTCAAATCATCATTGCGACATTCCACATACGACACTAAAACTCAATCACATTATTTTTTTTATTCGCAGCCACAACCAAAAACAACTAAACAGCAAAAACAAACACAACCAGGCATGACTCTAAACTAATCAACAGCAGCTAACCAAAACAGCAAAATAAATGCACATAAAGCAGACATACCCATCGACATCCCTCCCCAAACTAAATTCCTACTATGTAAAGCAAAATAAGGGAATCGAAGTCACCGGATCATCGGCGGGTAGTCCTCCTCACTCGTGGCTGTGCATTTTCCTGTGCTTCTACGGACAGTCTCGCCACCTGCGCCTTCAGCTCGCCATTCTCCAGCTCCAACCTCCTATTCTCCTCCTCGAGCTCCTCGACTCGTCTTCGCAGCTGGTCCTCCACACGTGAGCTGTTCCCATGGTTCGGGCTCGGAAGGTCTGGGAGCTGCGCTGCAACTTGAGGCATCGTCGGGTGGTCCATCTTGATATTGCGGCTGACACGAATCGTCGTGTACTCTGGGTTCGGCAGAGCAATGAGTTCGCCTTGGGCGACCCGCCAAAAATAATCGTTATCCTTAAACAACAGATTTAACTGGCCCGGTCCCAACAAACTCGTGTCCAATGTCGACACCCTTCCAATCGGCACCCGACCCCGCAGCTCCACCCCAGCATGCTCGGCAATGCACGTGATTAATCCTCCCAGCGCTATCTCGTCGTTCCGAGCACCTACGGCAAGCAACGTCTCAACATAATGGTCGTCTGAGCGCATCGTGTGATCATGGAGTGTGGTATATTTATAAAATTTATAATTTTCCTAACTTAAATCTGAGCGCAAACTTAAATTTAAATTTAAATTTATGATTTAAATTTATAATTTTCCTAAATATAAATCTCCCCAAACTTAAATCGTTGCTTGTCCTCAAGCAACTTAAAACTATAAGCACAAAGATGGATCAACAAGTACGTGGAATATTACTCAGGACCTCACAATTCTCACATAAGTGCATAGCTCAAACAACTCGAAATAATATATTCGGACTCAAGATGAAATCATTCTAAGAACTCCAACATATCAAGTATCAATTCAAGTGACCACCATAGTTTGTCAATCTCTATAACGAATGCACCAATCAATGCAACTCATGACACCCCTCTCTTTGCTAACAAGTCAAGTTCCCTTCCGTTTCTAGCCGAAGTCTAAATGTCTCATCCTCCACACTCTTTTTTTTTTCCTCTCTTTTTTTTTTTCTTTTTTTTTTAGAGTAGGGAACGGCAACTCCGTCACAACCCGTGAGTTTTAGCCTTTCGTGCTCGTCTAGATACGGAAATTATTGGAATTATACACTAGTGCCCCCACAGATTGGCAGCTGTTGCAGCCCATGCTTTTTTTTCTTTTTTTTTTGTACCAAACGGCTTTTCAACTCCACCAATTATTCTTCCATCCTCATTATTCTTTTTTTTCGACTATGAGACATAGAAACCCCAACTTTCAACTTCAAGTCACCAAACTTAATTAACATTGATTAAAGCAATCACAAGCACATATCAACAATACAAATCGTCTCAAGACCAACTCACTACAAATAAATCACAAAAATATCAACCTTCATGCCTTTGTCCCCAAAATAAAAACACCTTAAGAATTTAACCAAATAAAATTAACTCAAGCCATTTAAACTAGCACAATAAATCCAATCCGACTCTCATATCATCATCGCAAAATTCCACGTACATGTAATCTCACGCTCACACACAAACAAATATCATGCAATCAGTCTAAGACTCAAACTCTAAGGGGCATAAATATAATGACATAATAAAACATGAACGCTCACCATGAAACACCTCCCCAAACTTAGAGTTTGCATATATCATAGGCACTCAAATAAACAAAAACGGAGGTAAAAGAAACGAGTTCACCTTAGTAAATGCAGAGGAAGTCGCCGAACCATGCACACCATTGGGTTGCCTCCCAACAAGCGCCTCTTTTTATTGTCGTTGGCCCGACTTATTACTCCCTTTTCATCAAAAGATCCATGGCGGCTTCGGAGGTGGCCTCAAGGGAGGCGTCAACCTCACCACGCCATGTTTGGTTACATCCCCTATCCTCGGTGTCGGGTGCTTCACCGGATCTTTTCTCCATTGAGCTGATTCCTCATGAATATGCAGCAGCCCATGCTCAATCACGTTCACCGTCTCATCAAACTCCCACCTACACCTTGCGTTTTGCTCGATCGTCTCAAGAGGCTGGATATTAAGGCTCAAGACATGCTTCAGTGCATCCTTGCTCAGTACCCACTTCATATTAGAATACATAGGACACGGTTCAGCTTCTATCGGCACAAGATCGGGAAGAACGGTACGTTTTTTGGCTACAGCAGGTCGAGTATGGAGTACCCCCGTATTCTGCTGCTCAGTCCCATATTCTGCAGCTTGGTTCTCTTTTTCGCTCTCATTCTTCTCGATATTCGTGATTTTCTTTCTGGCTCGTGTGTGTACTCTTCAAGTTCCTCGAGGTCCTCGCTGTACGAATGGATGACGCTCAAACTCATTGGACTCTTTTCCAGCCGATACACTAGTCGGTCCATTTGTTCCGCCAATTGTCTCATTTGGCCTTCTAAATTTCGGATGCGCAGTCCATGGTTCTCGATGATCGCCTCTTGGTTCCTGATGCTCGCCTCAACACTTTGCTGAAAGTTAAGAGTGTTAGCCGTCAACTCCTTCATCATCTCCTCGAGCGACGGACCAGGATCTCTCTCAACTAATGGCTCGCAGTGTTCTTGCAGAAATCTCAACGTGTGAGCCTCTAGTGCCTTCACCATATCCTCGAGCGATGGGTTGGGATCTCGCGCAATTGATGGCTCGGAGTACCCATAGAAAGAGTTCGAGTGCTCTCTCAAGCCGTACTCGTTCTCCTCGGGATACATGTAGTCTTGCTCGTATCTTCGCCAACCATTAGGTCCTCTTACGCCTCGATCTCCAATCCACGGGCCTCGTATCTCCCTCTCATACTGGTAAGGTGTCTGGTGGGTATAACAGTCGTGATAATAGGCTGCCATCTCGAAAAGTTGCGCTAAGCTCGATCAAAAACGCCAATACTCTAAGTTACTCCCAAGAGTATGGGGGCGAAATAATCTGTCCAGCAGAGTACGGGGTCTCCCAGTATTCTGCCAACAAATAAAAATAATAATAATAAACAAGAAAAAGGGGAGTAAAAGAAGATAAAATAAAATCCTAAAAAAAAAATAAATAAAATAATTCAACTAGTACTCAAAAATCACAATTCAATAACGCCACTCCCCGGCAACGGCGCCAAAATTTGGCCGCGCGTCGCAACGCGGCAAAATTATAATTTATATTTTCCTTAACCGACTTCTACCTACTAGTAGTAGTAGTGAGCAAGGGTCGATCCCACAGGGAGTGTGAATTAAATCGTGAATTTTCTCGTATTAACTGAAACTAAGAAAGCAATAAAAAAGGGGGGATTTTGAGATTTAATAACTAAACTAAATAAAATCCTAAGAAACAAAGGAAATAAAAATAAAATAGAATAAATAAAGAGAAAGCTTCTAGTTCACGGTTCCATCTACACCCTCGACTGACTCGTCTAATCAATTTTAGTATCAAATCTCGCTATCTCATGAAATTACTAGCCCTAGGTAACGACACGGTCTGTTACCCGAATTTTTCCTTATTTTTAATTTAACCGCGAGACGCTCGACGATTAAACCTGACTTCTTGTACAGTCTAGAAAAACGTTTTCAAGATTTAATACAATTAGCCGCTTTACGATTTAGAAAAATAGGCTAGACTAATTAGTGAACTCAACCGCGTTCGTTCACTTAATTAGGCCGTGTTATCCCCGGTAGTTACCATCTTCCGGTTACCTCTTATGAATTAAACACAACAACAATTACGGATTGCAGGTCTAATTCAGATGTAGATATGAAAAGCCTAATCTAGGTGATCAATCTAAACAAGACTAACACATCACGGTGAATTATTCAAAATAACACAAGCAATTCCAAAAAGATAACTCAATAATCAACCACGAAAATTAATTAAACATCGTCAAATCATAGGGTTCAAAATCACCGGAACTAGAAATAAAAACTAAGCTATCATAATAAATAAAAATAAAAGAAAGAGAATAGAATTATCCCTTTTCGTGTGCGGGTGCGGCCTCCCTCCGCTAAAGTCGAGTTCTCTCGACTGTCCTGTGTTCTGCGTGCCTTTCTCTATTGCGTAGATAAGCCTCTGCTCTTGTTCCGCTTTTTCGACTTCTGGCTGCGTGGTTTCGTGTGTAATGAGGGCTGCGTGAATGTCCCCCTCCATATATCACAAGGGCTTGAGTATATATTTCCTTTTCCTACTTTGCTTTGGTGGCTGCCTTTTTTTTCATATTCAATTAATTGCTTTTTTTATCAATTTGGCTCAAGTAATCTCCAAGATGTTTAGCCAAGAACATTATCTCACGGCCCAAATTAATCCAAGAAGCAAAATGGTCTTTTGTGTAGTCCTAATCTCCCACCTCAATCTTTTTCTTTATTTAACTCATGGGCCCATAAATTGATTAATTCGTTTTATACCAAGTCGCCCGTAAAAATACTCAAATATCCTGAAAATGAACCATAAATATATCATAGTACTCACATCCATCTAATAAATAAATAAGTCAAAAAAATATATTAATGCGATAAATTTAAGCATATAAAAATACGCTAATAAATATATAAAACACACACTTTTTCCGATCAATCAGCACGGTCCCACATAGAATCGGCTCTAATACCATGTAAGAAACGGGGGTTAAACTTGTGCGTACTAGAAACAGGCTGGGAAACGAGTACGTCATTGCACGGTCCCACATAGAATCGGCTCTGATACCATGTAAGAAACGGGGGTTAAACTTGCCCTACTAGAAACAGGCTGGGAAACGGGTACATTACATAGAATCGGCTCTGATACCATGTAAGAAACGGGGGTTAAACTTGCCCTACTAGAAACAGGCTGGGAAACGGGTACGTTATTGCACGGTCCCACATAGAATCGGCTCTGATACCATGTAAGAAACGGGGATTAAACTTGTGCGGTATCACGCACGTGAAGCGCACCATAAGTAGGGAAACCCCAGTTGAAGCCCAAGTGGGGTTCCATTCCAAAACCAATTGGTGGAAGCAGGAGTAGCCCATTAGACTTATAAATTAGGTTTTTTCTTGTATAAACGATGTGGGACAACTTACAAGTGAATATTCTAATATCAATATTATTAATATAGTTAAATAATATCAATCAATCATCCTTACACATGACATCAACTTTAATTCATTATTCACCCACTCACATAATTTTAATTATCCATCACTTCCAATCACAAATCATCCTTATATATCACATGTTCAACTTTAATTCATTATTCATCCACTCACATAATTTTAATTATCCATCACTTTCAAATCACAACTCTTCTACTGTTACGTCAAATCAATTTTAATTATTTTATTTTAAATATANAAACAAACAAACTTATAAACAAGCAAGTTCCTCGTTTCTTCTTTCCCCTTTGTCTTCTCGTTTGTTGGTTCCATTAGGTTTTCTTTTCGTTTACTTTCTTGGGCTTCTGGATAGGTCTGTATCGTTGGGTTTAGGCCTTAAGGTTTTGTCTCACTGTCTTGCTTTTATCTGTTCTTCTATTCTAGTCCGTTGGGTATGTTTATTTGCTTGAATTGCTAGTCCGTTTTGTTGCTTGTTTGATCCCATTTCTCCCTTCTTTGGGCTTGGTGGTGCTATTTTCGATTAGGGCTCTTTTCTATTTTGGCGTGTTTTCAAGGAGGTGGAAGTTTCAGCAAGTGCTTGGTATGGAAAGTGAAATGACAGATAAACTCAGAAAAGGAGGTGGTTGGAATCGAATTATCAGAGGAAGACATTGTCCCTGAATTTCAAGAATATCAATTAAGCTTAATTGGGGAAATCTATTGGGAAAAGATGGTCAATTTCAGGGACTTAAGTCTACTCTGGGAATTATCTGGTTAACAATGAGGCCTTTTTTCGATTAGAAACCTGGGAGAAAACAAGTTCCAATTTCTGTTGTAGCTGGATTATGGACAATATATAATTATGAAGGATTGGAACCCCGATTATATTGTGTTCTTAGAGGATGAGGGGCAAATCAGAATTTTGAATTCAGATACGAAACCAGTCCTTACACTGGATAGCTGCTGAGACTGGTCTGAATATAGGCAGAATTTTAGGGCCTGGTAGAGCTTTTGGGAAGATTATAAAAGTTTTGGTGTAACTGAAGTTGGGGGAGCCAATTCTCAGAGGAACGCACATTAAGATTGGCCAAGAGAACCGGTGAGTTGATTTCAAGTATGAACTTCTCTAGAACTTCTGTTTTGGTTGTGGAAGAATAGGGCATAGTGATAGAAATTGTTCTAGCAAACAAGAGGATATCACTAGAAATGTCCTTAATCTTGGTCTTTAAGTATAATACTTGCAATTGTATCATCTACGGTTGTTGCTGCAACGATATCAAATGGAAGGACAACAAAATTAAAATATAAATTGATATAAATGAATTAAGAGATGTATGTCAAAACACACAAATATATTTAGTCTTTAACGTACTGAATAATTAATAATATGGGATGAGGCGAAAAAGCAAAACGAAGGACAACTTAAAATTTATAATTAATAATATGGATGTAAATTTTGAGGAATTAAACTGGACTTTGTATAATTTTTTTAAAGATAACACAATTGATTCAGAAATTTATTTGGGCAATACACCAAAAAACATGTTTTTATACCTTACATACCATTTTCAATTTTTTTTAAGATAACACGATTGATTCAGAAATTTATTTGGGCAATACACCAAAAAACATGTTTTTATACCTTACATACCATTTTCACTAAAAATAAAAAGAAAAAGGGGAATTTTTATTTCTACTACGTGATTTGGAAAAAATTATAATTTTACCATGGGGCAACATTTATTTGCATCTTTACCAACTCCATACCAATTAATTATAAATATACACCAAATTATGGGAATTTTAGTTACCAAATTAAGTGTAACTGCCTCCCCCTTAAGCGCATACCGTGGGTTTTTAATTCTCAGATTTTTTGAATATGCAGTATATATTGTGTTTATAGTCAGTATATATTCAGTATCTAACGTGATTTTTTATTTACATAACATTTTTATTTAACCATAATTGTGATATTTGAATTTTTGTTCAGTATATAACTTGTCATATACATATCATAAACTGATCATAATCATTATTTTAATAAATTATTTAGTATATGTAAAGTATATGATAAACAAGTGAAGCACATGCCAGATGATAAACACACGAACCACGGGCAACGAAAAACATAAACTGAACATATATATACACGCAACATATATTGCCGATTGTGCTTACGAGAACATATACTGAAAAAATTTATTGTATATAAATACAACATATCCACAATATAATAAATCAAACGATTTTTTTTTTTCAAAAAACTGTCAAGGCGGCTACGCAAACGTTTTAATCTTCGATCCGCCGTCATTACCCACCATAGCTAGTAAAGACGGGAGTTGGGTCGCCAAGAAGCATCAAAACCGTTGATCTTCGCTCCAAAATTTATAATTGGTATTCTCATAGCCAACTATTCCTATACAAGTGAATTTCACTTCCATGACCAAACTGTTAATGAAACTAGACCACATATTCATGAAAAAATAGAACAAATAAAGTGTATAAACAAGTTTTAAGTTTGGTAAACCGTTTTAAATTTTTACTTTGCTACATGTTCATGTTTTTCGGGTGTAATAAATTAATTATACTTAGTAAAGAATTCATGCGGAAAAAAATAATTATGTCAAGACCAAAATCTTATTGAAATTAGACCACACATGCTCATGAAGAGATAGACCAAATATAGTGTATAAACAAGTTTTAAGCTCGAGTCTTACTGAAACTAGACCACACATCTATATCTATAGTAATATAAAGAGGTTGTTGGAAAAATACAAAAATAGTAACTTTGACTTTAAAAATAATGTGTTGACTTACTATTAGTAGAAATTTTGAAAAAAGCACATGTGAATCTTTAGAAATCAAATTTAAGGGAGATATCCCAAAAAATGTGGAGATTCTTAAGGTAACAAATTTGGAGATTATTAAGGTAACAAACTTGGATATACTTATACCAAAATTTAATTCATTTCATAAATACGAATCTCATTTTTATTGGTAACAAATTTGGAGATTCTTGTGCCAAAAAATTGAAATTTTGAATTGAGATATCCCAATAATTACGATTTTTTTTTCCATTCAAATTAATGTTTCAAATCAAACAAAAAATTGTTCCGAGAATAATGGATGTTGTATTAAATATTGATAAACTCCAATCCTCTATAAATTATTTATATTTGTGCATTTTGTGTGTAAATATATTGTTTTTTTTTTCCTAAATAATACTAAATTACCTTATTTTAGGACCTAAATCCCAACTTCTTTTCTATTTTTTGGTGGTTTATATTCTTTAATTGAAATAATATTTGACTTATTTGATTAAAACAACTTATTTTCTTTAGGAAATAAATTTAAGTGAGATATCCCAAAAAAATTTAAGATTCTTAAGGTAACAAATTTGGAGATTCTTATGCCAAAATTTAATTCATTTCATAAATACGAATCTCATTTTTATAGGTAACAAATTTGGAGATTTTTATGGCAAAAATTGAAATTTTGAATTGAGATATCCCAACAATTATGATTTTTTTTTTCCATTCAAATTAATGTTGCAAATCAAACAACAAATTTTTCCGAGAATAATGGATATTATACTAAATATTGATAAACTCCAATCCTCCATAAATTATTTATATGAATTTTGTGTGTAAATATATTGATTTGGTTTTCTTAGATAATAATAAATTATATTATTTTATGACCTAAATCCTAACATCTTCTCTATTTTTTGGTGGTTTATATTCTTTATTTGAAATAATATATGAATTATTTGATTGAAACAACTTATTTTCTTTAGGAATCAAATTTAATGAGATATCCCATAAAAATTGAAGATTCTTAAGGTAACAAATTTGGAGATTCTTATGTCAAACTTTAATTCATTTCATCAATACGAATTCCATTTTTATTGGTAACAAATTTGGAGATTCTTATGCCAAAAAATTGAGATTTGAATCAAGATATTCCCACAATTACGGATTTTTTTCATTCAAATTAATGTTGCAAATCAAACAAAAAGTTGCTCCGAGAATAATAGATGTTATACTAAGTATTGATAAACTTCAATCCTCCATAAATTATTTATATTTCTGAATTTTGTGTGTAAATATATTGATTTGTTTTTCTTATTTGATTGAAACAACATATTTTTAGCCATATAATCATATAATATAAAAAATTCACGACTTAAATATATATCCATGAATATATAAAAACGCAAAACATTTAGCTGTGAATAGTATGTAAAATCCCGCATAAAATTTTTGTTTTTACTGATAATGAATTTATTTAATAAAAGGGTAAATTCCCTCCTAAAGCACAAATTGATTTATATATATATATATATATACAAAAAAAGGTTTGAAAATTCGGGCAAATCTCTATCTATGGATATTTTTTTGTCCATATCTATTAAACTACAAAATCTTTTTAAAGTTTGGAAAGAATCTCATATTATGTGAATTCCTGGTAAATATTTTTTTCTCCATATTTATCTAACTACAATATCTTTTTAAAGTTTAGAAAGAATCCATCTTTTTAAAGTTTGCACTCAATCGATCCCTTATATAAACCCCTCCCCACCCAATTACAAAATCCTAAGTTTGAGACAAAAAAAAAAATCAGTTAGTCACAAATAAAAAAAAAATCACAAAAAACTCTTAAATAAAAAATTCAAATCAACCTATCGAATTCTAGGGTTTACTTCGACATAACAATCAGCAGCTAGCCCCGCCGCTGAATCGTGATGGAGCTCTTCGTCGACGTTGTCACGAAGACCGACGAGAACTTTTGCGCCCTATGCACCAACGAGAAGGACGTCGGCAAATATGGCAATCCCCTCCACCACAAAGGGTCATCCTTCCATCGTGTAATCCCCAATTTCATTTGTCAGAGCAGTGACTTCACTGCGGGTAACGACGGCAAGTCGATCTATGACGCCAAGTTTACCGACGAGAACATCATGAGAAAGCACACCGGGACCTGTCGATGGCGAAGGCTGTTCCGGGGACAAATGACATGTACTTTTTCATCTGCACGACAAGGACGAAGTGGCTTGACAACAAGCACGTGGTGTTCGGGCAGGTGGTGGAGGAGTACGACATATTGAAGGCGGTGGAGAATGTCGGGTCAGGGAGCTACCGGACCTCGAGACGGGTGGTGATCGTCGACTGCAACCAACTCCAGATCTGATGGTTGTGTGTCGTTTAATTTGAAGTTTGTTGGAGACTATTTTCATAACTACCTAATAATTGTCTTCTGATTTGTTAAATTTGAAATTAAAAAATAGTTTGTTGGATACTTTTTTTCATAACTACCTAATAATTTGTCTTTTGATTTGTTTAAATTTGAAATTAAAAAATGAAGTTCATGTCACGTTCGTAAGACTCTGGAAATCATATAAGAATTTTATATTATATGATCGATTGGTTCCTAAAAACTTGGCGCATATATACAATCATTTTTCAAAACTTAAAATTTTAAGATTACATATAAATATTTCTTCAAATGGTCATATTTATCTTTTTAAATTTATTAAAGTTTTAAAATTACAATTAAATATTTTTCCAAATGGTCATAGTTTTCCCAACACATTTTATCACACTAAAAATAATATATTACGATTTATCACACTAAAAATAATATATTATAATTTAATTTTTTTCACACAAATGTTTGAAAATTTTAATTTGTTGACAAGAAGGTTTTCCACAAAATCAAACAAAAAATATTGTGTATAGGGAATTGTTCAACAATATATGATTTTTCATACTCTGTATCTAATTTATAATAAAATGTTTAAACTTTAGTAATTATATTTAAAAATAAAGTTGTAAATAAGTTTTGAGGAACAAGCCTCACCGTGCATCGCACGGGTTGCTCACTAGTATATATAATAAGAATTAACATTTACCATAAATAGTAGTAAGAAAAGTCAAACCACATTTATTATATACTATTTTCAGCAATTTCTTTATTTTACATTTTAATTTTAATTCATTATCAAAAAATTGGATGGTTCCTAAATTAATGGGTTTTAGATGCTTTCAAAAATTATAAAATCATTTGAAATCGGATGGTTCCTAAATTAATGTTTACATACTTTTCAAAGTTAAATTAATGTTTAGAAACTTTTCAAAGTTGTAATCTTTATGACATCTTTTCTTTTTGACTTTTAATAATAAAATCATTTTAAATATATATATATATATTCTAATCAAAAAATTCAATCATGTTAATAAATATATATATATATAGGGGATGGATCCAATGAGACCACTCCTTAAAATGAGTACGTGAGACTCAATCTTAGCCACTCATTTTGTCTAGATCAAAATCAATTAAAATATACATTAATTAAATAATAAAATAGTTGACCGTTGACTCCGGCGTTGACTGTTGACTCCGGTGTTGACCGTTGACTTCCGGCGAGAATCGTTGACTTTCGGCGTTGACCGTTGACTTTCGGCGTTGACCCGTTGTATTGAAATAAATAACCTAGCAACAAAAGACACTCAACCTTGAGTGGTGTAGTGGTTGCATTGCTTGTCTTACCTCCATGAGGTACCAGGTTCAAATCTTATGGGTTACAATTTTTTTATAAAAAAAAAATACAACTAACTTACAACTAACTTAGCAACATCAGACAACTAACCTAGCAACAAAACACAACTAACTTAGCAGCATCAGACAACTAACCTAGCGACAAAACACAACTAACCTAGCAACAAGAAAGAACAACTAAACTAGCAACAAAGACAACTAACCTAGCAACAAAACACAACTAACCTAACTTACAACTAACTTAGCAACATCAGACAACTAACTTAGCAACATCAGACAACTAACCTAGCAACAAAACACAACTAACTTAGCAACATCAGACAACTAACCTAGCGACAAAACACAACTAACCTAGCAGCAAGAAAGAACAACTAAACTAGCAACAAAGACAACTAACCTAGCAACAAAACACAACTAACCTA